TTATATGAGCGAACCGTATTCGAGATGAGAAGACTTTGTTGTTTGTGAAAGACTTTGTTAGTTATTTCTTCAAGTTATATAACCAAATTTAACACGACAGCTATGTTGGCGAAATTCAGAGAAATAGTAAACCTTCTGCCGCACCTGTTTTCGGAGCCGAAATCGAAGGGTTTCGAGTGAGATTTTCGAATCAGTCTCTTCACAAAACTCGTCGAGGACCGTGATAATTATATGTAAGTGTTAAATTGCTTCTAATTCGAGCAAGTTTTATAGCCTTTTAGAGATGAGAATTTGACGGCAGTGAGTCTGCCAAAAACAGGGCAGTTTTGATGAAGCATCTTCGTTGGGTTTTATTACCGTCTTAGGATAATAGTTTGGGATATATTTCTTAAGTAAACTTTTAGATGAAGTTGTCAGCTTTGATTTGCTATATTGTTTGGCCAATTTGGATAACTTTACAAATAGTTATGAATTTTACAATAAACTGTACCAGAAAAGAGAATTTATCCGAAATTCTGGCAGTTTTATGTAATCATCTTTTGGGCCTGTTTTGAATATGCTGGGATCATAATTTGTGATCTGAGTCTTCAGTGAACATGTAGATGCAGTTGTAAGCTTTCATTTGTCATATTAATTTCCCAATTTGGATAATCGTACCAATTGTTATTGATTTTTCAAAGAAATTGTGGAAACAAATGTTTTAAACCTTTGTATCAAGAACTCGTCAAACAAACACGAGTCAACTCCGTACCATGTGAATTGATCGATGCCTGGAGTGTGTTGTATTTGGTAAATAGAACGCCATAGAAATTGTGTATTATGTTCGATTGTCAGTTATGGCATAAGATTTAAGTTAGGATGTTTATATGAAATAGAACCGAATAGTAAACGATTATGACATTCGATAACTTATTTAATTCTAATATTTGATAGCTACTTATGCAAGAGCGCAGATACATTATTGAATTTTGAGTGCTACTAAGTGACAAATGATTGGAATTGATTCTATCATATGATTTCTTATTTTCTAATTGATTTTTTCCCTTTTTTAGGTTGGACTGTTTGATGAAGTGAAAGAACGTTATCGTGGAAGTCATATTTGTTGTCGCTTAACAATTTATGAAGTGGAATTTATTATGAAATAATTACAGTCATCTTTCTTATTATTTGGAATGATTGATTTATTATTGTATTTAGTATGATAGATTGAAATTATAATATTCACATTTAATTGATAATATGTAAATTTGAAATCTTTAGTTTTATTTTAATTTTTTTTACTGTTGCAAATAAACATTAATGATTAATGCAACCAATTAATTATTGGTCTGAATTGGTCAGTAAATTTAATAATTGTCGAAATCATGTAAAAACTATTGCAACAATAATATGGTCACTATATGTATATTATGTAGCAACCAAAAAATGTGGTGGCCAAATATATATCCTATAGAAACAATAAAATATGGTCACTATATATGTATATATCATTTAGCGACCAAAATTATATGGCCACTATATATGTTGCTATAGCAACCATGTCACTATTATTGCCACCATA